AGGAAGGAAGGAAGGAAGGAAGGAAGGAAGGAAGGAAGGAAGGAAGGAAGGGAGGGAGGGAGGGAGGGAGGAAGGAAGGAAGGAGCGAGCGAGCAGCAGTTCTCAACCTGTATGGGGGGTGGGAGTGGGGAGGTGTTCATATCATGTGTTTACATTTCAATTCATAACAGTAGCAAAATTACACTTATGAAGTAGCAATGAAAATAATTTTATGGTTGTGGGTCACCATTACATGAAGAACTATATTAAAGGGTCGCAGCATTAGGAAGGTTGGGAACCACTGGCCTAGTGTCTGTGCTGTCAACCTCTGATGTTGTCTTGTCCTCAATCTTATCAATAAGTGGGAGTTATCTTGTTTGTCCTCAATCTTGTCAACATGGGGGAGTTATCTTGTTTATTTGTAAATGATCTTTACCACCTTTAGAAGGTACAAGCAATCTGTAAGTCTTGCAGGAGAGTAATACATTCGCCCTAAGAAATAAGAGCATTTTCAAACTACACTAAATTTATATGCGCAAACACACACACAACTATTCATTATATGTGTTAAGCATGTTTTTCCTTCCTGTCGTCCCCTTCCAACGTGGGTCCTAAACATGGGGAAAAACGGAAATTACAGAACCAACTTCCAGAGCACACATTATGAACATGGCCCTCTCCAAAAATAAACCTATTTTGGAGCTCTAGCACAAGACTGCTGAAAGATTTACGCGAGGGGGCAGGAGTGGGGTAGAAGAGGTGGTGGGTGTCTAGGGGGCCTTTAGGTTTACCTATATTTAAAGTTTTACACCTAATATTTATGCAGTGCCACTAGACGTTAGGTCTGGCTAACTTGCATTTTAGGCTCCACTTGGGGAGCAGCGACTTCCCGTGACGGACTCAGGAACCAGGCACGCGGGGTTAGAGCCCTGGCTCACCCTTCCCGCAACCCGGGCACCTTTTCCTTCTCCGCACTGCTGAGGGGCTTCCCGGGAAGCTCTTCCATTGGGATGGAAGCCGAACGCAAGAAGCAGCCGTCGCCAGCCTCGGGGACCAGGCCGGGCCTTGCTGGGAACAGGAGGAATCCCGGGAAGGAGCAGGGACCTAGCCTACCCTCAGCGCGTGACTACACAGACCACACAAGTCCCGCGCGCCACCCGCTCTGGCCAATTAAAAACGCCCTTCGCTCTGCGCACGCGCAGCTGGAGAACGCCGAGCAACAGAGCCGGGCTGCCTAGAGGTGATTCGAGCAGTCGATGAGAGTGGAGGGCGGGAAGAGCGGAAGTGGACAGGCAGCCGGAAGTAGGTGGAATCGCGGTCAGCCTGACAGGATCCTGAGGTTCCGAGAGAAGACAGCCATGGAGTTGGGCGAGCTGCTGTACAACAAGTCCGAGTACATCGAGACGGTGCGCGTGGGCCGACCCTGTCCCCGCTGACAGCCGAGCGGACCCTGGAGGACCGGACGATCGCTCCTCCGGTCCCTGCTCCACCCACCCCTGCTCCCTCACTGTTTTCCTTGGGGATGACGTAGAGATGCTTCGGGTTTCATCTGATTTTGTTATTCTGTCGGTGCATGCATGGATTAGGCTCTCTGCTACCGCACTCCTCCTTCCCACCGTGTGTATGCATATGTATGTATGTGTGTGCTTATATTCTTCCTATTGAAATAATGTCTCCCGGAAGAATACGCAATACAGCCTATTCGTTCTGATATTAATTACAGTTTCAGGCTTTGGGCCTTTTTAAAAATAATATTTCACAGTCTCCTAAGGTTCTAGAAAGGTATTGTTTCTAATCACGAACTCATGATAACACGTGTAAAGTTCTGGAAACAAAGCAAGTACAACTATTACGGTTACTATCATTGGTTTTGTTTTGTTTTGTTTTTCTTCTGTATGTTCTTACGAGTCTGTGATCATGGGAAAGTCATTTTCCTCATTTAGAGCTGTGAAACCTGAATATTGAACTGGGGTTTGAATGGACACTTGTCATTAGACCTCTTCATTAGATACAAATTCTGAATCCATTTCTTGAACTTTTAGTTCCTAATCCACCCTTGCTTCTTTGATATATTGGATTTCGTCCATTTTATATGTTTTTCGGGGCTGTGGATTAAAATAAGGGTCGTGTGCATGCTAGTCAGGCACTGTTATCTCTAGCTATGACCTCAGCCTTCCCTCCCCTCTCCTCTCCATTTCTTCCTTCTTTAGTTTCTGTGTGTGTGTGTGAGAGAGAGAGAGAGAGAGAGAGAGGGGTGGGACTCTCACTTTGTAGTTTAGTCTGAGCCCAGATTCACAATCATCCTGCCCAGAGCCAGGACAGTAGGGGTGCAGTACTATGCTCGGCCTTCATTCCATTTTAGACTGCACTCCATTTAAAGTAATTTTCTCTGCAATGTGAGCTTTCTTGAAGGAAACTGTAGCCCAGAAATCCTCTCAGCTTTTTCACCCCCAAATTTCTGTTTGCTTTTAGGCATCTGGGAACAAAGTTAGTCGCCAGTCTGTTTTGTGTGGAAGCCAGAACATCGTTCTCAATGGCAAGGTAAGGGAAACGGGCGCTCCAGGAAGCATACTTGTGCTTGCTTCCACTCGTCACCCTCTTAGCAGGGTATATAAAAGAGTGCCGTGTCTCCAGTTTGTTGTACATTTCCAGTTCTCTTTTCTTTGTTTTATTTTTTTTTCTCCAAATTGGATTTATCAAGTGTACAAAAATGATCAAGGAAGAGAAGCCAGGAAATTAGCAAGTGCTCCATTAGATGGGAAATGAAGTTTTAAGGAAGATGGATGAGGAGAGCAGTGTAAAACATGAAGTGTGAGAGGGGAGGACAGAACAGACAAAGGGACAGGGCTGCTGCAAGGAGGGCGAGGTGAAAAGGGAAGAATTTCAGCTGAACTGAGCATGAATGTTTTTGTCATTTTCTTCAATGTTGTGTAGAGATAAGATGTACATTGCCTAACTATCATGAATAAAAAAGTGGTGGTGGTGGTGTTTATGCCTGAACAAAAAAACAATCGCAAATTTTTCTGTTACACTGTATTGTGCCTAGGACTCCTAGACACAAAACCTAGAAGAGGCAATACAGTACTTTAAAACAGAAGTCAGTGAAATGTTTGCCTGTAATCTCAACACTTAGAAGCTTGAGACAGAATGATCACACCAAGTTTCAGGTCACCTCTGGTTACATAGTGAGCTATAGGTCATCCTTAGAGACATAGTAAGACCCTGTCTCAAAACAAAGTAGAGAGTACATGACCAGTGTATGCTGAAGATGATTATCACTTAGTGAGAATACAGACCCGTATGGCCGGAGCTTCTGACTTAGTTTCAAAACGAACCGGAAATGCGACCAAATGCAGTGGCACAGCCTGTGTGGAAGCAGGTAGGACCATCTCTGACGAAGAGCCCAAGGCTTGGAGGGCCTCAGATGAACTCAAGTGACTCCGAGCAGATAGGTTAACCTGATCTCCATGCATTGTCGATGTGTGTTTCCTCAATGAGGCATATCGATAGAGTATCAAGATCAAAGCTTAGGATGAATTGCAGTCAAGCTAAGTTTTTACCTTGCAACTGCCCCTTTTATAGAATATTTGATGGCGTGGACCATAACATAATGCTCAGTGTTCTGTTCACTATCTTTTATCTTACGTTTAGGCTACACTGGTAATTTTTTTTTGTTTACTTTTTTAAATTTTTATTGATTACACTTTATTCATTTTGTATACCCCCATAAACCCCTCCAGATCCCACCTTCCCTCCGCTTTTTGCATGCATGCCACTCCTCCCCAAGTCCACTGATAGGGGAGGTTCTCCTCTCCTTTCTGACTTTAGTCTATCAGTTCTCATCAAAAGTGGCTGCATTGTCCTCTGCTGTGGCCTGGTAAGGCTGCTCCCCCCCTCAGGGGGAGGTGATCAAAGAGCAGGCCAATCAGATTATGTCAGAGGCAGTCCCTCTTCCCATTACTATGTAACCCACTTGGACACTGAACTGCCATGGGCTACATCTGTGCAGGGGTTCTAGGTTATCTCCATGAATAGTCCTGGGTTGGAATATGAGTCTCTGGGAAGTTCCCTGTGTTCAAATTTTTTTGTTCTGTTGCTCTCCTTGTGGAGACCCTGTCCTCTCCAGCTCTTACTATTTCCCACTTCTTTACACTGGTAATTTTTTAAAAGGTTTATTTATTTGTTATTTATACATCATTCTGCCTGCCAGTATACCTGCACACCAAAAGAGGACACAGAATCTCATTATAGGTGGTTGTGAGCCACCATGTAGTTGCTGGGAGTTGAACTCGGGACCTTTGGAAGAACAGCTCTTAACCTCTGAGCCATCTCTCCATCCGCCTACACTATTAATTTTTTTTAATGTATTTTGCTTTATAGACCATTATAATGAATGACTGTATCATCCGAGGAGATCTGGCAAATGTAAGAGTTGGACGGCACTGTGTTGTGAAAAGCCGTAGTGTCATAAGGCCACCATTCAAGAAATTCAGCAAAGGGTATGTGATTAAATTACCTGTTTGTAGTCCTAGGCTCATACTGTTCTTGGTAATGTTGCCCATGTCCATGTGTTTAGATGTGTAATGAAAAGGTCTTTCCTGTTTGAGGGCACTAAATGAGAGGTCACAATAATGAACATCACACTGAGTGATTGTCACCTTGTTCATTTTTCGTTGTCAGAAGTAGAATAGTCCCTATAAGAAATAGAGAAATAAGGCATAAATAGTAAAGCATGAGTAAAACGTGAAGCTGCATTTTCCTCTTGCATGTCATACCAGAATAGATAGTGCTGAGAAATTCGGATTTTTAATTTAAAATTAAAGAACTCTCAGGACTAATGTAGCCTGTAGTTGCTTAAACTGCAGGTCATGACCCTATGTTATCATTGCATAACTGAATGGGGGGACCTGGGAAAAATTTGGCAATGAATGAAAGGTTTCTGAATATACAGGAACCAAAAATTAATTCAAAATGAAATACATAACGAATACAAGGTTTCTGGCAGTGCTTGCCCATGGTGCAGCTTCAGGTCTGCACACAAACACGCACGCTGCACTGCGCAGGACGTCACACAAGCCACACCAGTGAATGCTGCCGGGAGCACTTCCACTCAGGTTTGAATGCCTGTGTGTTATACGTCCTGATGTCTTTACTGTACACACTACGTTTGCTGCTCTTAGAGAAACAATAGTTTAAGTACTGAAAATAAACTTTTAATATTTTCCTACAGTCATTCCTTAACACGTAACTATAAAATTAGTGTGTCCTTGGATTTTATTGTCTTAGAATGGTGGGTTTTGAGGCTAGAGAGATGGCTCAGTGGTTAAGTGGTCTTGCAAAAGACCTGGGTGGCTTACAGCTGCCTGTTGTTCCAGTTCTAAAGGACTAGTTCCTTCTGGCCTCCTTGGACTCTTGTATACCTGAGGTGTATATAAACTCATGCAAGCAAATACACCTACATATAAAACAAATCTTTCAAAAAGAGATTGTTGGTTTTTAACAATTGCTGTTTGTGTTTCATTGAAAGAAAAAAATTAGTCAATGTAATTTGGCTTGAGATTAGGACATATTTTTCCAGTTGGTAATTATAAAATTGGAATATCAGTCAACTCTGAACAACAGTGAAAATGCTCTGTTTTGTGTTATCAAATACCCAGGCAAACTTTAATTCTTTATGTAAAAATAAATAAACATACCATTTGCTCTTGTCTTTAATAATGGCAAAATTTTAAAACAAATTTCTTTATGATTTACAGTGAGATTGGCCACATTGAGATCAGTATGGCTATAGGCTCTTTATGATTTATTACCAGTAAATTTTTTTGTGTGTATGTTTCTTTGAGATAGGTCTAGTATAGCTCATAATGTCCCGGAACCCCCTAATTTTCCTTACTCAACCACCTAAGAGCTGAGGCTATAGGTGTGAGCCACCACACTCAGCTTGTATACTGGTTCACATGAAAAACAATTTCTTGGGTAAAAAGGTATCAGGAGTAGAAAAAGTTTAAAAGGACTTAATGTAGACTGCTGTGTGATCAAGGAATTCACTGTTGCACAAGAGGAAGAGACTAAAAATATTAAAATTCGCAAAGTTCAAGTAAGTCTTGAGTCTTAAAGGACAGATACTAAGACTTAAAAAATATTCCTTATAGACCAGGGCTGGAGAGAGTTAGTGAGCAAACAGCTCTTTTATATCTCATCTAGTCCACAACTTAAAGTATAATCTCAGAGCTGGAGAGATGGCTCAGTGGTTATGAGGGCTTACTGCTCTGTCAGAGCACCAGGTTCAAATTCCAGCATCCATATTAGATGGCTATAACTCTAGCTCCAAGAAATCCACCACTCCATTCTGGCCTCTGTAGATACCCAGAAACACACATAAATAAAATAAGTAAAAAAAAACAAAAAACATGGTTTGATAAATGTTACTATAGAAACACTGTCAGTGATGTTTGAGGAATTGTAGAGAATGGGAATGATATTAGATGTCTGGGGGAATCCTGATAACTCCTATTCATCCTTAGAGTCTTGACTTAAGTATAATCTTTTTTGTTTTGTTTTGGAGATAGGTTCCCTATGTAGCTCTGGCCAACCTGGAACCCAGAGATCTATGAGACCAGGCTGGCCCTAAATTCACAGAAATGTGCCTGTCTCTGCCTCACAAGTGCCAGGATTAAAGGTGCGAACTACATCTGGCTTTAAATTCCACTATTAGGCTTTCCCAAAGCCCCTGTCTAGGTAAAGTGTTCTTGTTATGTACTGCCATAGCTTTATATCACAGCTGTAACTAATTATGTATGTAGTCCTTGCTCTGGTTTCTTCTGATTCTACATTCCTCATACAAAGATGTCTTTTGCTTACATTGTATCCCCCGTTCCTAGCAAAGAGCCTGGCACACAGTAGGAACTCAGTAAATATGGTAGAACTGTTAAAGTTTAAGAATGTTGTGAACTAGGGCTGCAGAGATGGCTCAGAGGTTAAGAACACTGGCTGTTCTTCCTAAGGTTCTGAGATCAATTTCCAGCAACCACATGGTAGCTCACAACCATTTATAAGATCTAGAGCCCTCTTCTGGTGCTGAGGCACACATGCAGGCAGAATGCTGTATAAATAATAAATAAATCTAAAAAAATGTTGGGAACTAAAACAATGTCTTATGATTTGGGAATATAGAGGACTTGTTAGCATGCAGAAGGCCCTGGGTTCAGTCCTAGCACAGCATGAACAGGGTATGGTAGCACATAGCTTTGGTTCACAGGCAACGGGGTCAGATGCTCAAGGTTATCTTCTTCTACATAGCATATTGAGGCCAGCTTGGGCTATGTGAAACCCTGTTCTCTCATGTAGCCCTCAAGTTTGTTTTTGCTATCTGTTGGGCACCCAAACTGATAGCCTATGAACTTGTCATCTTGGAAACAGATAACTAAACATGTGATCTGTGAACTTTGTCCAAGAAAGCAGGGTTGAGTTAAACTCATTTTAGTTTGTTTTGAAGATCCTACTCCGTCTGCTTTACTCTTTTCTTGTGCAATCTAGCAAGTCTGATTTTGAGGTATTAGCCTGATTCCTTAGTCTCAACATTTGGAATTTCTATGACTTGAGGATTGTTTCCTTGCAAGGAATAGTCTTATTAGGACTTGATAAAAACTGAGGGTATGATTCTTGCCTGTAATCTCACTTCTCAAGAAGCTGAGTCAGAATGATCAAGGTTTTGAAGCCATCCAGCAACATAGAAAGAGTCCATCTGTAAAGATCGGGCCAGGTGACAAATGTCTGTAATCCCAGAGCTTGGGAGGCAGAGGCAAGAGGATCTCAGTGAGTTTGAGGCCACTCTACAGAGTGAGATCCAGGATACTCAGGACTACAAAAAGGGACCATGTCTCAAAAAACAAAACAAAAGAGTCTATTTGTAAATAAAAATATGTTGAGATTATGATCTATAGTTCTGTAAACCTTAACCCAAACTCAATCACCTTTACCTTTCCTTGTTTATCTTCTGTTTCTTTTTAGTGTTGCATTCTTTCCTCTACATATTGGGGATCATGTCTTTATTGAGGAGGACTGTGTGGTCAACGCTGCTCAAATCGGTTCTTATGTTCATGTTGGGAAGAATTGTGTGATTGTGAGTATATGACTCACTTAACCAAGCAGCTTCATTTCCTCTCTGTTTTTCCCTTCCCATCCCATCTTTGGGACTCTGTCCCTGTAACAGGGGAAGGAGTCGTTTCCAGTTTCCTGGGGTTAAGTTTTTCTTACTGGATTTGGAGTTTTTCCTTGGAATTTATTATAATGGTTGGTGAGCCGGGCATCTAGCTCAGTGATAGAGTGCTTGTGTAGCTTGTACGAGGCTCTGGATTTGATTCTAGATTTGATTTATTTGAGACACACCCAAAATAAAACCAAGTCATAATGGCTAGCCTTGACTGAACCTCTTCCCTATGGTATTAAACTCTTTCCCTGGGGCTGAGGAGACAGTGCAGACTGTAAAGCACCAGTTACACAAGAATGAATTTGACCTCTAGAGCCCATATAAAGAGCTAGGTGTAACTTGTAACCCCAGCACTAGGGTGGCCAGAAACAGGCAGACCCTGGGGCCCACTGGCCAACCAGCCTACTTGCTAAGCACAAGAGCAATGAGAGATCCTGTCTCACAAAAAAACAAGGTGGATGGTGCCTGAGGACCAACACTGGAGGTTGACATCTGGCCACTGAATGAATGTGTACACACATATGTATCTTGACGAACACATACATGTACTCACACATGTATACACACACAAAACCCCTTTTCCATTGGTTACTTCATTTAATATTCATAACCACACAAGGATGTTGGTTTTGTTATTATTCCTGTTTGCTGATGAGAGGATTGAGAATTGTAGATACTAGGGGATTTGACAAAGGTAGTGGTAGAGCTAGGGTTTCAGTATACCTGCCATTTGAATAGTGGCACTGCTGCATTGGCTCGTTTTGTTGTTGTTTTCTCATAGAACTTACAGTGTCATGAGGGTGAAGGATACAATGGGAAAATTGAAACTGGCACAGAAAGCAGTGGTTGCCTGAGCAGTTCAGGGGAGGGACTGCTGTGTGTGAGGGTCAGTGTCACCAAAGAGCATATTGTTAGGGTACTGCAGGTCATGCAGGGTGCAGATAGGCCCCTGGTTCAGCAGCACCTAAGACCCTGGTCCATAGAAGCAGAGGCATCCCAGACAAGGTTTGGATTTCTTGCTGTTTCATAGATGAAGAAGCAGGTGTGGGGTTTCTGAGAATTATGTTCTATTTGAGAATGATAATAACCAAAGTTTGTTTGACTAAAGTCTAGAGAAGATGTTTTCTATATTTTAGATATGTACCACAGACTAGATTATAGTAAAACCCAGGTTCTCCCACACCAATATACAGAACCAACTCTCTACCCTAAGTAAGCAGTAGATGTTAAAGATTCAAAATCCATGCAGTTCACGTTCTGAGAGCCACAAAGACTCAATGTAGGTGGTCAGTGCATTGGGGCTCAAGTTGATGGGAAAACAATTCTAATCAGATTTTACTCAGAATTGGGGGGACAATAATTCTGCCACATAGTCTTGTTGCAAAGGAATTCTTTAGTATGCGTAGAGAAAAAGGTTGAGTTCGGCTCTGTGTTAAAGAAAGGAAAATGATAAAAAGATCTCAGCCAGGTAGTGCTGGGGCACGTCTTTGATCCCAGCACTTGGGAGGCAGAGATAGGCAGATCTCTGAGTTTGAAACCAGCCTGGTCTACAGAGCCAGTTCTAGGGCAGCCAGGGCTACACAGAGAAACCCTGTCTTCGGGGGGGGGGGGGATAGGAAAAGAAAAAAAAAGTTTATCTCAAAAAGAAGAAAGGAGAATAGTGATTAAAGGAGAGAATAGAGGGCGATTGAATAAAGGTACTAAAATACAGCTAAATAAAAAAGACATTCTAGTGCACAGCACAGCAAAGTAGGCACAGTTTACAGCTCACTGTATACTTATGACGAGCCTGAAGAGGCATTTGAAAGCTCTAAACATGAAGTGATAAGACAATCAAAATTCCAGTTACATTGATTTGATCAACACATGTTCTGTGCTGAAGTGTATACATCACACTTCAACTTATAAATACAAATAATTATTGTATACTGGTTATTACATACTACTGCCAGAAATTGAACCCCTGGTCTTGTGTATGCCTGGCAAGCATTCTGTCCTGAGCTACATTTCTAACACTTAAAACACATTTTTTTTTTTTTAAATTTTAAGACAGGGTCTGGCTAAGTTACCTGCAGTAATGGGGAATTTGCTCTGTGGCCTAGATGGGCCTTGAACTTGTGCCACTGCTGTCACATTCCAGCATTCCAGTTAGCTGGGTTGTAGGTCTGTACCACCATTCCTGGCTAGATACTCTGCTTTTTGTACCTCTTTTCAGAATATCACCTTGTCATTGTTCAGTGTGAGAAGTACTTGTTAAACCTTGACAAATTTTAAAGCCTTTTAGGCTTTAGAGTCTTCTAGAACTGTAGACTCTCAGAGCTGAAGTCTGCCTGCCTTCATGGCCCACAGGCTTCTCCAGAGTGCCCCATGTGACAGTCTAATGCTGGCTTGTTGTGGAAGGTGTAAATCGGAATTGCCATATGCCAGAAGGAAACACTTAGCAAGCAATATCCTAGGCATTACAGTGCATCAGCTTTACGCTTGGTACCTCCAGTCGTGGCGGCGTTGTTGTTGGTTTGCCTTTACATCCTGATTCCAGGGTGAGGAAACCAAGGCTCAGTGATGCTGACTTGGCTTGCATTAAGCTGTCCAGGACAGGGTAAAATGAGCAGCATAGCTGCAGTTTCGGATTCCTCCTTGGAGGCAGAATGAAGGAGCATTTTACCTTCTCCGCCATTACCAGTCCACTCATGTCTTAAGACTGTCTGCACTCTTCGTATTGCTGTGAAATAATCCCTATACTCAGAATGTTCCTGAAATTCAATTAAATTCCATTTCTCCAAGTAGGCAGGATCTAAGTGGGTGGGGTGGCCAGCTAGTAGACAAAGCAGGCTTCAGGCTGTATGGTGGCTGGCAGGAGTAGTGAGAAGATCCCTTCCCACTGTTTTTTTCTAGGGCCCCTTGTCTGTGGATCCCAACATGGGAATTTGCCATGCTTTACTTAGCACATTCTGTTCTCTTATGCTTAGTTTTGGGATTAGGAGTATAGGCATGACCACAGCCTTAGAGAATGCATCACCAGGAAAGCTAGACAGTTGATGTCTTTGAAAATACCATAGCTAATTCATGAATGAGACCTTCCAGGGGAGAATGAAGATCTATACTTACAGCCAGCTTCTGAGCCAGACACATCAGCTGCTGCCAGTCTTCTTTCCATCCAGCTGGAGGCAGCTTAACTGTTCATGAAATTCAGACATTGAAGATAGGAGCTTTAATTTTTTTTTCCAGGTTTGGTGGTGCACACCTTTAATCCCGGTACTTGGGGGAGAGGGGAGAGGCAGGTGGATCTCTGTGAGGTCAGCCTGATGCACAAAGCAAGTTCTAGGACAGCCAGAGCTGTTACACAGAGAAACCCTGTCTCCAAAAACAAAAATGAAAAAGAAAATTATTTTCTTTTATGTGTATGAGTGTTTGCCTGCATTTATATCTGAACATTGCATGCCTCCTAGGTGGCTGCAGAGGTCAAAAGAGGGTATAAGAGATAGAAGATTTGCCTTGTGGGTGCTGGAAATTGAACCTGGGTTTTTTTTTCGGAAGAGAATAGAGTGTTCTTAACTGCTAAGCCATCTCTGTAGCCCCTGAGTTTTGTTTTTGTTTTGAGACAGAGTCTCACTACTAGCTGGCCTGAAACTCACAAGAGATCTGCTTGCCTGCACTTCATCTATGCTGGGATTAAAGTAGGCTGCTACCATTCCGGTGGTAGAAGCTTTTTTAAAAGTTCCTTTAGGGAAGCTGGAGAGATGGCTTAGGAGATAAGGGCACTTGCTGTTCTTCCAGAGGACCCAGAGTCAGTTTCCAGCACCCACATAATGGCTTACCACCATCTATAACTCCAGCTTCAGGACCTCCAAAGGTACCAGACACATGTGCATAGACACATAATAAATAACATTTTAAAAGATTTCATTTGGCAGCATAGTTTTCTTCTGGAAGTACATGTGGCTTGGATAATTAATTATCAGAAAATTTAAACATATTCACAATAAAGTGTCTAATATTTGGGAAAACCCCAAGGCTGAGTAGGTTAGCATTATTCTAGTATTTATTTACATTCCTACATTCTCAGCCAGGTATTTTTCATCAGATTGTCTAATCTCATTTCTCCTATCTGTGTTTTACTACTGAGATTTTTGTCAAATTGTTTTTATCAGGAGACAGGTAAATTTACAAGCTCTAGTAAAGACAGCTAACAGGGGCTGGGGAGATGTGTACGCTGTGTACGGTGAAGGATCTCAGCTTAAATCTCCCGCATCCAAGTAAAAGCTGGGCATGGTGGCACAGGCCTGTAACCCCAGTGCTGGAGAGAGGTGGAGACAGTGCTGGGGCTGTAGTATACACATATATTCACACACAAACATACACATACACTTACACACATGTTCTTTACTTCTGCCTGTCAGATTCTACTTGGAAGAATATAACTCCAACCCTTTTATTGTCCTTAGGTCCCTGTCTATTATAAGCTACCACGAATGCCTGGATATGGTGGTACATGCCAGTAATCCTAGCACTCTGGAGGTAGAAGCACTTGGATCTCTGAGTTTGAGGCTGGCCTGTTTAACATAAATGACTCCAGACCAAGTAGAGCTACAGTAATGAGACACTGTCATAAAAATATCACAAATAGCGATGATATAAAATTGCCTTCCACACAGCATACTAAACAAGCTTTACTTCCATGTCTTGATTAGTACCAATTAATTAATAAGATTTTAATTTCAGGGGCGCCGGTGTGTCTTGAAAGACTGCTGCAAAATTCTCGACAATACAGTATTACCTCCAGAAACTGTGGTCCCACCATTCACCATCTTCTCAGGCTGCCCAGGTAATGTTGATGTTAAAATGTCTATTTCCACCTCCTTCAAACTGTTTCCATCACTAAAGTAATGCATGAGACCATGTCTCTGATAATGCGGTTTAGCAACAAAGTACCTAAAAAGGACATGTGAATAAGTTGTCTTGGTGGGAATGGTGTTTGTTTGTTGAGACAGGGGTCTTTTTGTGCAGCCTTGGTTACCCTGGAACTCACTATGTAGGCTAGGCTGCCCTTGAACTCAAAGAGAGCTGACTGAATGTGTCTCCCTAGTGCTGAGGTTAAAGGCATACACCGCCATACCCAGTGAACAAGCTGCAGTTTGAATGAATACCTGGATTCACAATAAAAAAAAAAAATTTTAAAAGCAAGCCAGATGTGGTGCTGCATGCCTTCAGTCCCAGCAGAGGCAGGTGGATCTCTGTGAGTTCCAGACTAGCCTGGTCTACGAAGAGAGCTCAGGACAGCCAAGGTTATGCAGAAAAACTATGTCTTGAAAAAAAAAGAAACCAAAACAAACAAAAATTAAAAAGGAAATTATCAGAAACAAAGAGGAAATGAGACCCACACTGGAATATTACAGTGTTGATTGTTGATTTCACAGTAAAATGGTTTAAAATGTGGTGCTTGTGTGGGGTTGGAGATAAAGCCTTAGATCCATACATGGTAGAGAGATTCTCGAATACTTTTGGAAGGTATTCCCCTCAAAAAGGTTGCTATATGGGCTGGGGAGATGGCTCAGTAGTTAAGAGCACTGGATGCTCTTCCATAGGACCTGGGTTCAATTCCTGGTACCCACATGGCAGCTCAGCTTTCTGTAACTCCAGTTCTAGGGGATTCAACTCCCTCTTCTGGGCTCTGCATTAGCCAGGCACACACAAGGTATACAGACAAACATGCAGGTAAACACCTGTACACAGAAAAATAAATAAATACCATTAAAGAAGAAAAGGTTGCTTTGTAATAAATCTGCCACCAGCACATGGGACAAAGAAGTCTTTCTGTCTTGGCTGGGGCTGTGAGTGGACAAAGGAGAAAGGAAAATCTCTTTAGAGATATGTGTGCTTTATCTTCTTAACGTGTTCAAGTTCTTTAGTCCCAACTTCTTATGGTCATTGAATGCTAAAGACAGAAGATAAGGAAACCATCCTGGTATCTCAGGTGAAAACAAAGATTCTTTGAAAAGGCCCAGCCGCATGGAGCCATCCAGGTCTCTGTATATGAGCAGACTGCGGCTGGCAGGTGTGCTGTTCCACTGTCAAAGCCATGTCCAGCACCAGAGACCCTCATTCAGAGCCAACGCTTCTGCACTGCGACAGATGCTTCTGGTGTTTCTTTTGCGTCTCATAGATAAGTGGCAGACATTTGGGTACTTTATTGGTACTTTCATCTTAGAATTCTGCAGGCTTGCAGAAAATCTGGCACATTTAAAGAGAGTTGCAGGAGATAAAATTGAGCTATGAAACTAAAAGAAATGGAATCCAGGATTGGTCTCGATCAGAAGCCGGGAGCAGCTCAGCTGCTCCTGCAGCCAGGCAGGTAGTGCAGTGACTAAAGTCATAGCCATCACGACTGCTTGACCTGAGAGCATGAAAGCTGATATTTAAGGGACAGCTGAACATGGGCATTTTGTGTGGTATCTCTGAATTCTTAAAGTTGTCTTTTATTACATAAAGATTAAATACTGTGAAATTTAGGGGCTGGAGAAATGGCTCAGCAGTTAAGAGCACTTGTTTCTCTTGTAGAGGACCTGGGTTCGATTCCAAGCACCGGCAAGATACCACAGAGCCATCCATATGCAAATCCCTCTTTTGATTTCCTTGGGCACTAGGCATGAATGTGGTGCACAAACACACATGCAGGCAAAACATTCATACACATTTAAAAAACAATTGTGAGCCAGGTCTACACCTTTGACCCCAGCACTTGGGAAGTAGAGGCAGGCAGATGTCTGTGACTTCCAGGCCAATCTGGTTTATTTGGTGAGTTCCAGGACAGCCAAGACTACATTGTTTGTCTCAAACAAAGAAGTAAAACAAAAGAAAAATGCTGTGACATTTAAACATGTTTGCAGGCGTAACGTGCACTTTTTATTTGTAGAGTGCCTTTGAGAAGTTTCTGAGTTTTTTCCCCCATTTACTCAGCGCATTTTGTAAAGATATGAATATGTAGGTGTGCTTATATATTTGAATGGATAATACAGGTATTTGAAACACACCTTTGTGAATGAAATCAAACTCTATTACTCTGTACTGCTTGAAAACTACCCTTTATTTAGCTCTGTACCTCGAGCAACTTTTCAAGTGGTGTATAGAATACCACATCATTCCTCTCAAGAGTTACAGGTTTCACACGCAGAATAGGTAGATTTACTACAAAGCATTGAATCAGTCCCACAGCATAATCTAGTCCCACAGCTAGAAGTTGTACCTGGGCACTATCATATACTGCTGTCCTGACATTCTTTCACATGTACTGTGAAACAGTATCTCTGACATACATTCTTAGAAGTTGACTTGTGGGTCACAAGATAGGAATGTTGAAAACTTTGCTTACTATTTGTGTGTGTATGTATTTTTGTCTGCACACATCTCTGCATGCAGCACATGTGTAACTCCAGAGTTACACATGGTTGTTAGCTGCCATGTGGGTGCTGGGACTGAACCTAGGACCTCTCTGCAGAACAGTTGGTTGGTGCTCTTAACTGCCAAGGCATCTCTCTAGCCCTTTGCTAGCTAGTTTTAAAGTGCTCTTCAAAACATCTGAGTGGAGACACAGTATCTCTGTTTCAGAAAGTATTTTGGTGGTGGTGGTGGTGGTGGGATTTTTTTTGAGACAGGGTTTCTCTATATAGTCCTGGCTGTCCTAGAACTCACTCTGTAGACCAGGCTGGCCTCAAACACAGAGATCTGCCTGCCTCTGCCTCCCAATGCTGGGATTAAAGCGTGTACCACCATAGAGTGAAATCCTTAATCATGCTTGTTCTATCTTGGACCGCTCTGTTGTCCTCCTTTGATCCATCTGTACCTAGTATCATTGCTTTGGTGGATTCAGTTTCACTATAGGAATGGCAGGACAGTTCTTCCCTCGGGAATAAGGATACGGCTCAGTGGGGCTTACACTGCAATCCTGAAGATGGAAAGCCCTGTGTGGAACAACCAGCAGCAGTCAGAGGTGCCTTCTCTCTTTGGATCTTTCAAGCATGTTCTGACCTCCTGCAGCTAGAATTTGTTTCTTCATTTGGAAAGCTAGTGTTCGTTTCCCAAACACAAACTCCAACCTTTCAGAAGATGTAGTATGTAGTCAACATTCTTGTCAGTCTGAAGATGAAGAACCTCAATGTTAGGTCCTTACAGCAGAATACAAAAGTCCTTACAATAAAAAAGATCCTTACAATGGCCTGCAGAACGGGAGGGCTACAGGCCTGTGTGGCTCCTTTGCTTGACTGGGTCTCTCTTTCCTCAGGACTCTTCTCAGGGGAGCTCCCAGAGTGCACCCAGGAGCTGATGATTGATGTCACCAAGAGCTACTACCAGAAGTTTCTACCCCTAACACAAGTCTAATGTCTTTGCTTCATATCCTGAATTCTTTTGAACTCTAATATGAACTTGGAGAAAGAGAGCAGTCAGTGACTACAAGAGCTACCATGTTCTTAACAACTTTTACTCTCTCTCTCTCTTTTTTTTTTAATTTGGAAATTTCAATCCTTCAAGGCTCTGAGTATTTAAGAAAGTAATAAGAAGGCTGAAGAGATGGCTCAGTGGTTAAGAGCACTGGCTGCTCTTCTAGATGACTCAGGTTCACTTTCCTACATGGCCCTACAACTGTTTGTAACTCCAGTTCCAGGGGATCTGATGGGTTTCTGGCTTCCACGGGCAGCAGACATACATATGGTAAAGACATATATACAGCCAAAATATCCCTTCATATAAAATAATGAACTTAAAATAATTTTAATAAGAGGACATCTGGAGGAGTTGTGTTTACATGCTGTGCTTACACCTAATCTGTCAACATTCACCATACCATCGTCTGAGGACAGAAAGATCTGTTCCTAACACTCCATCCCTGTGGTCCTGCAGATAGCTAGAACCTGGCTGGCATGGGCCTGCAGAGCAATAGCACCCTCCCAGCATGGGGTCACATATCGCAGATACTGCCCACAACCATATCCTATCCCCACTGCACACCACCCACACAGATGACGCTCTACTTTCCTGCTGCTAAAGAACCAGTGGCTACAATTTCTTAGACCCTGGGGAAAGGTGATTTCAGATCCCAGGTTTCTATTGGCTATTAAAACATGAGGAAAAGAGATGGGTTGTTGTTGTAGTGAATAAAAAGAATGTTGGGTTATCTAATGTTTATTATTATTAGCCCTGTGATTATCCAACCTCCAAAGGTTGTGGTGACACATACCTGTCATCCTAGCATCTGGGAGGTAGAAGCAGGAGGAGTAAGATCTACATAGTAAGCTCACACTTGCCTGGTGTGCTACATGAGACCAGGCTTCAAAACATCAAAAACAAAATCAGTGAAAGAAAATGTGGAGCAGTGCTACCTGTTTTTGTTTCTGAGTGACCTTAGCTGTTAATAAAAGACTTCAAACATCCTGTTTTAGACTCATTCATTTAAAGAGGGGAACCCTCACTGTAGATTTTTCTTCTACAAAGCTCCATGCTTAGGTCTTCGGTGTGGATGTCTTTGTCAGGTTCTCATTCCTTGTCTCAACGTTCACTTCACCAAAAATGAGCATTTGTGAACCTTTCTCTCTAGCCTAGAAGCATTTGTCCACCAAGCCAAAACTCCCATGCTTCAGACCAAAATATTTGTACTTGTGGTCAGCCTCACATATGCATGAGAGGCTTTTCCAGTCATCCTGTGGACACAGAGCCTGAGGAAGTGTCATGGCCAGCGCCATCTTCCCAGCTCTCCTAGCTGATAGCACATCCCCTCCTGGTTCTGAATCCTTGGTTTAGAGGTGAAGGGCTTGGTTAACCTAGTGCTCTCAGAGACTATGGCAGAACAGCTCAGCACGGAATGGTGGGACTCAGCAGGAGCTATCTTTACTTACATCTTAGTGGGCTTGCCAGAAAAACCTGTGTGAACTCAGCTCTAACCCAATTCAGAGCTGCTTTCTGTTTGTCATTTGTCATTTTTTTTATGTTGGTGCACTAAAAGATTGGCACATGAAACACATTTGTGAAGTGAAGGTGATCACTCCACCTCCAGTAATTGCAGCTGCTGCTCCTTAGGCTTCACTTCCCACCTGGAGCCATGCTAGAGGGTTCCTGTTCACTGGCTTGCTTGTTTCCAACACTGATACTATAATGTGAATGTTATTCACGTTTTGCAAGAAGGAACCAGACTGAAGGCATTGAATAGAGCTTCCATTTTGAATAAGGGTCAAATAAAGTTTAAGTTCTCAAGACCTCCCTGGTGGGTAACTGACATCCTGCTTGGCAGAAAGAGACCTGTACTTGGATGACTGGCATCCTAGTTGGCAAGTTGAGACATGAATGCTAGGCAAGTCACCACCCCACAGTTCTATAACCCAACCAATGGGAACGGGCTAAGTGTACCACAAAGACATATTCTCAAGGACGTCCCCTATCTGTAAATCCTGATTGGTGTGATAACTTGGCACAGATGTTTGTGGATTTCAGGCTTAAAAACTCTGTACCAGTCTGTTCTGCAGCCCGGATTGATCAGTAGTGGCCTGAGTACAATCAGTTTTCATCATCTGCTTAAATACTAAGATGAACACAGTCAGCTCCCGAGTTTGTACTGTTTTCCTGACTGGTCAGGTTTGCTGCCTAATTCAATAAAGATCTTGCTTTGCTGGACTTTTGTGACTACTTGGGTTGTTTTGGATTTTCAGACCCCAACAGTTCAACAACTGAAATAAAAACTTAGAGCTATCGGACAACTTGGTGCCATTTGTATAGTGAAACCTGGCTGACCCAGGAATCCCCTGTGGCCTACGCTGGTCAGCTCTGCCCTATAAAGACAAGAGGAGCTTGTCTTTGGAGACCGTCTGCCGTGTCTTGACTGATACCAGCAATCGCTGATGGTGCTGAGTTTTCTAACTCATATCAGATGACTGCCCCAAGTTCTCTGTCCTTTGGTGTTACCAAAAAGGGGAATGTTAGATGCTATCTAGGTTAACTACTGATATTTTCAGAGCATGCCTGGCAGGTCACCTATCCAGCTTGTGTTTAAGACCTCCAAAAGAAAGTTTGTCGGTTTTTTTTGCAACCGACTCCATTCAGTTGTTAATCAACTGAAGTTAAAAATAAGTTTGACCAGGCAGTGGTGGTGCACACTTTCAATCCCAGCTTTAGGGAGGCAGAGGCAGGCGGATCGCTTGAGTTCGAGGCCAGCCGGGTCTACAGAGCGAGTTCCAGGACAGCCAAGGCTACACAGAGAAACCCCGTCTTGGAAAAACCAAACAAAACAATAGCAAGAAAGTCCTCCCACTTCAATGATGGCTGTGAAGTGAGCAATACTGTGTGGAATTCCATGATGGTGGATAAGTCGTTCTCAAAGTGCACAGATGGTGGTTTTGGAAGAAGAATTACCTCAGGAAAGGCAAATCCATAGCCAGAGTAAGTGTCTATTACAATAAGGACAAATTGTTTTCCTTTCCATCTAGGAAATAGTCCAACTTGTGAACCTGCTGCCAGGTTGCTGGCTGGTACCCACAGGGAATGGTGCCACATCTGGGGGTCAGTGTTGGTCTCTGCTTTTGGCAGATTTGGCACTCAGCAACAGCCATAGTGAGGTCAGCCTTGGGGAGTGGAAGTCCATGTTGTTGAGGCCATGCATCACCCCATCTCTGCCACCATGGCCACAGTTTTCATGGGCCCATGGGCAATGACATAAACGGCTGGTAAAAAAGGATGAGTATCCATTAAATGCGTCATTCCATCTACTTGATTATTCATCTCTTCCTCAGCTGGTCACCTTTTGATGAGCATTTATATAAGATGAAGCATCTTCACATCCATCACCCATTTGGAGAGATCTGTCCACATACTTCTTCCCCAGATGTGTTTCCCACCAGTTTCCCAATCATGCTCTTTCCACATCCCTGACCATCTAGCCAGTCCATTGGCTACAGCCTATATGTCAGTGAACAGCTGCACATCTGGTCGTTTCTCCTTCCAAACAACATGTATGACCAAACAACATGTGTGAACTGCTCCAAGTTCTGGTCTCTGTGAATATTTCCCTTCACCAGTAGCTTTTAGAACTGTCCCGGAGAAGTTTTGTGACTTTTGGAGCTGCAGCTGTCCACTCCTGGGTGGTGCCGGTGTAATGTACAGTACCAGCAGTCAGCCCAGCCCCAGTCTTCTCTTCCTCACTCGGCTCATCATGGGGCACTCCCGTGAGGCTTCAGATGCGTGCTCCATAGCAGAAAGCATTGGAGTGGGAGTAGAGACCATCGGCATTTGGGCAACTTTTTCATGTAGTTTGCTAGTGCCTTCGGGGCCTGTTTGGACCTGATTTTATACATATATCACTTGCATTTGATAGTTGATTGCTGTTGTGCATGTCCTACTTTATGACTTGGTGGGTGCCTTAGGATTTTTATTGCTGTGAAGAGATACATGACCAGAACAACTCTTTTTTGTTTTGTTTTGGGTTTTTTTGTTGTTGTTGTTTTTGTTTGTTTGTTTTTTGTTTTTGTGAGACAGGGTTTCTCCGAGTAGCCTTGGCTGTCCCAGAATTTACTCTGTAGACCGGGCTGGCCTTGAACTCCAAGATCCACCTGCCTCTGCCTCTCAATTAAAGGCATGCGCCACCACTGCCTGGCCACTACTGCCTGGCCACCACAGCAAATCTTATAAAGGAAAATTTTAATTGGGGCTGGCTTACAGTTTAGAGGCTTAATCTATTATGATGGCAGAAACCATGGCAACACACAGGCAAACATGGTGCTGGAGAGGGAGCTGAGTGTTCTACATCTTAATTCCTTGAGGCAGCAGAAGGAAACTGCCACAGAAGGCCTAGTTTGAGCATATAAGACCTCAAAGCCCACCTTCACAGTGACACACTTCCTCCAACAAGGCCACACCTACTCCAACCAGGCCAAACTCCTAATAGTGCCACTCTCTATTGGCCAATAGTTTATCCTTTACCTTAGAAGGAATGTCTCTGCATGACCCATAGCACTGGACTCCTAAGAATTTCACTGAGGTAGAAGGCCGTTGAATTTTGGTTGGATTTATCTCCCCTCCTCTGACACACATATGTGTTACCAACAAGTCCAAAGTGTTGCTTCCTTCTGTTCACTTAGTCCAATCAGCATAATGTTGTCAGGATGATAAACCAATGTGATATTTTGTGGAGGAGACAGATGATCGAGCTCCCTTCAAACTAAGTTATGACACGTCTGGAGAGTTAATATTTCCTTGAGGTAAAACTATAAAGGTTTTTTGCTGGCCTTGCCAACAGAAAGCAAATTGCTTCTGGTGGCCTCTATGGACAGGTACCTTAAAAAAAAAAAGGTATTTGCTGGATATTTTAATCAAGGTTTCTAATTGCTGCTACAAAATATCATGACCAAAAAGCAAGTTGGGGTGGAATGGCTTTATTCAGCTTAAACTCCCACAATGCTGTTCATCACCAAAGGAATTCAGGACAGGAACTCAAGCCGGGCAGGATCCTGGAGGCAGGAGCTGGTGCAGAGGCCATGAAGGGTGCTGCTTACTGGCTTGCTTCCCCTGGCTTGCTCAGCCTGCTCTCTTACAGAATGCAGGACCACACCAGCCCAGGGTTGGCACTGCCTACAGTGGTCTGGGCCCTCCCTCATTGATTACTAATTGAGACAGTACCTTACAGCTGGATATCATGGAGGCATTTTCTCAACTGAAGCTCCTTCATCTCTGATGACTCTATCTGTGTCAAGTTGACACAAAGCCAGTCAGCACACTAGGTTAATAGCTGCATACATGTGTTAGGAAGTGTGTTAATCTGCTCAAGAAAGGACACCACATCTGGTACAGCAGCTGCACTTAGAGTCACTACTTGATTGAGTTTTTGGTAGTCAACTGTCATTCTCCACAATCCATTTGTCTTCTACAACGGCCAGATAGAGTTAGAGGAAGATGTGGTGGGACCTTGCATCTTTCAAGTCCTTGATGGTGGCCCTAATTTCTGCAATTCCTCCATGGTTATGATACTGTTTTTGATTCACTATTTTCCCTGGCAGAGGCAACTCTAAAGGCTTTCATTTAGCCTTTTGAACCGTAATAGGCCTCACTACACAGGTCAGGAACACTATGTGAGCATTCTGCCAACTTCTATCTTGGACTGGGGAAATAACCACAGGATGAATTTGGGAACCCAGTGGACCTGCTGTGAGTCAGACTTCAGTCAAAACTCCCCTAGTCACCTGACCTCCATAAGCCTCAACTTTAACGGGAGGATCACAGTGTTTCTTGGGGTCTTCTGGAATCAGTCAATTCAGAACCAGTATTCAGTAGACCCTGGGCAGTCTGATTCCTTTTCTTCAGTGTACAGTTAACCTTCTGAAAGGACCTCTAGAGAGGACTGGAGAAAGGCCAGCAGTGAAACTCTTAGGTATTTTATCAAGGTCCTTCCTTAG